GCGACGAAGCTCGCGGACGTGGAGCTCGGCGAGGAGACGCCGAGCAAAAAGCTCACGCATAAGGAGAAGAAGAAGCTGAAGAAGCAGCAGGAGTACGAGCGGACGGTGGAGATGATGACGAGGGCGGGCGGGCAGGGTCACAGCGAGCTCGAGTCCAATTTCACTATTTCGCAGAGTCAGACGCAGCAGCGCGGTAATCAGCAGCTGGACAACGCGGTTGATATCAAGGTGGAGAACTTCAGCATAGCGGCCAAGGGCAAGGAGCTCTTCACCAACGCCAGCTTGCTCATAGCGCAGGGCAGGCGGTACGGCCTCGTGGGACCGAACGGGTAGGTTCTTGCTTTGCTGCATCCAACAGACTTCAGAGATCTCGGTTGTTACCATAAAACAAGTGTTACAAGTGGCAATTACATCTTACAAAACTTGACAATTCCTACTTATTCAATTATTTGCAATTTAAACAGACTTTGATTTTGTTATCGTACCTTGATGTTCGATTCGCTAACAAATTTGCCGAAAGGTATGTGTTTTTACCAGAGATATGTATAAAAATATTCACCTGAATCTGAAAAATTCAGTGCATTATTTACATGTACAGAAATGTAGTGTGTAATCTTTATCATCTCTATATACTTTATAAAACTCGAGAATTTCTTGTTTATTCAAATATTTGCAATTTAAGCAGATCTTAAGTTTGCAATTGTACCTTGACATTTTATTCTCTAACAAATTTGCTGAAAATTATGCATTTTTACCAGAGTTGTGTATCAAAGTATTCAACTGAGTCTGAAAAATTCAGTGTATTATAATTTACATGCATAAAAATTATAGTATGTAACCCTTAGGTCAAATATTTTATGGATTATCATAATATTAATAAATTTGCATATTATATATAATATATTATAGAAATTACATATTTTGTAAAAGAAGCAACGTTTCTTACGAACAGTATATCATTTTTTATATTCTTTTTTTATCGCAGTCACGGCAAAACTACCTTGCTTCGCCATATAGCCAACAGAGCCTTTAATATTCCGCCTACGATAGACGTTCTATATTGTGAACAAGAAGTTATAGCGGATGATACTCCGGCTGTAGAAGTAGTGCTCAAAGCTGATGTAAAGTGCACGGAGCTTCAAGCGGAATGCAAGAAGTTGGAGGAGTTGACAGAGCAAGGGGATACCACTGTGCAGAACAGATTGCAAGAGGTAATCATCGTTTTTATGAACTTCGAACTTTTTCTCTGAAAAATAATTGATAAGTTGTATGAAAAGATTATTTGTAATTTTATTATTCGTCAATTTCCGTTTCTATGTTTTGAACTTTATCTTCTTTTCGAAGAAGTTGTGACTGTTGAAAAATTGGACTAATACGATTTGTACGTTATTTTCAGGTGTACGATGAATTGAAAGTCATCGGAGCGGATTCGGCGGAGCCGCGAGCCAGGCGGATTCTCGCCGGTTTGGGATTCAATCGTGCGATGCAAAATCGCGCGACGAAGAACTTCTCTGGTGGTTGGCGAATGCGTGTTTCGCTGGCGAGAGCACTCTTCTTGGAGCCCACGTTGTTGCTGTTGGACGAACCTACAAATCATTTAGATTTGAACGCGGTAATCTGGCTGGACAACTACTTACAAGCCTGGAAAAAGACTCTGCTAGTTGTATCACATGACCAGAGTTTCTTGGACAATGTGTGCACGGACGTAATACATTTGGATCAGCAAAAGTTGTTCTATTACAAGGGAAATTATAGCATGTTTAAAAAGATGTACGAGCAAAAGAGAAAGGAAATGATAAAGGCGTATGAGAAGCAGGAAAAACGCTTGAAGGATCTCAAAGCGTCCGGGCAGAGTAAGAAGCAAGCTGAGAAGAGACAAAAAGAGGCGCTCACGAGGAAACAAGAAAAGAATCGGACGAAGATGCAGAAACAGGAAGAGGATACCGGACCCACGGAACTGTTACAAAAGCCAAGGGAATACATAGTGAAATTCACTTTTCCAGATCCACCGCCGTTGCAACCTCCGATTCTTGGTCTTCAAAGTATGTAGCTAGCTCTTCTATTTGCTTAATTATTCATCAAATTGCATTTTGTAGTAACTTGAGAAGAAAACATCAATACGAAGTAATGTAACAAAAGTATATAAGTTGTATATTTAATTTCTTGTAGATGTAACATTTGGTTACGAAGGACAGAAACCGTTGTTTATTGACGCGGATTTCGGTATAGACTTGAGTTCCCGAATAGCAATACTGGGCCCCAATGGCGTCGGTAAATCTACCTTCCTGAAATTACTAATGAGTGACATAACGCCTCAGAAGGGAGAAGTCTCAAAGAATCATCGACTGGTAAGTACAAGATAGCATGTGTTAAACGACTAAATCATGCTTTCTTTATTCTTCAAACACGATTGTTCAATCTACAAAATAATTAAAATATTTTCTTAATATTTTCAATCATTAATATTTTCTCATTTGACGATCTTCGATTTGCAAAATCGCAGTATTATTTATACATAGAAATATTTATATTTTTGGAATATTTTGTCCAACCAAAACTTATGTATCATATGCGGAATAATACAATAAGGTCGAGAATGGATCTTTCGTTTAATAGATAACTGCTCTACCACTCTAGCATCTCATTTTTTAAATCTATATTTTTAAATCTAAAGTACATTTGTAAATCGCCAACAATATAATAAACAATTAGACTTTTATTTCATCCGACTACAATTGACAAATAAAATCATCATGACAATTCGACCATTGGTTTTGGTCCCTTGATCGTCAAGACGTTTAACGTACACCAATGGTCGAATTGTCACGATGATTATTTGCCAATTTTAGTCGGATGAAATGAAAGTCTAATTGTCTTTATTTTTAACTTCTTTTAATAACTATATCGCATATAATCTGTTATTCTAAATTAATTTATGTCTTACAGAGGATAGGAAGGTTTGACCAGCATTCTGGCGAGCACTTAACTGCCGAAGAGACCCCGGCGGAATATCTAATGCGACTATTCGATCTTCCATATGAAAAGGCGCGTAAGCAACTGGGCACTTTTGGCCTCAGCTCTCACGCGCATACCATCAAGATGAAGGACTTGTCAGGCGGTCAAAAGGCGCGCGTTGCGTTGGCCGAGCTCTGTCTAAACGCGCCGGACGTGCTGATCCTGGACGAGCCGACCAACAATCTCGACATAGAGTCCATCGACGCCCTGGCGGACGCCATAAACGAGTATAAAGGTGGTGTTATCATCGTTTCGCACGACGAACGGCTGATTCGAGATACGGAATGTTGTCTCTACGTGATCGAGAACCAACAGATTAACGCTATCGACGGCGATTTCGACGACTACAGAAAAGAACTGCTCGAGAGCCTGGGAGAGGTCATCAACAATCCCAGCATAGCTGCAAATGCTGCCGTTGAACAATAATCGTCGACCAATTAGCGTAATTGACATCTTGGTGGCCTGTAATAATGTATGTAAGAGCGATCATTGGATTGCGATCGAAGCCTTCGTACGGATGCCCGTTCCTCCTAAGAGCGTCGGATCCAAATTTTGTATTATAAATACCGTGCAACCGAGTGTAAAAAATAAATTGTTACCAACATGGGGTTTGAGTCAATTTAAAAAAAAATTAATCTAAGATTACTTTTGTGTCAATGTAATTTATTAAAATTCTTTTTTAATTTCATCAAGATGTAAGGCTGCCTGATTGTTGCTGCTTTTTGCAAAATTTCTGCAAAACTGCTTTTGCAAAATTTCTTTGCAAAACTGCTTTTTGTAAAATTTCCTCCAATAATCAGTTTTTATTCTTTGTAACTGAATTTTTTATCTCTTTTTCTCTCTAATGTCTAATTATGTATATATTTTAAAGTATGTACCAAAAGTAACAATACAGCTACAAATAACAGGACATGATTTAATAAATAATGCTCTTGCTAGAATATATATGTATATAGCACGTGCCCAAAGTCATGATAAAAGAGCTGTTCCTCGACTGCACTTCCTGTACTCCTCTTCTTTTCTCTCTAACGCTTAAACATATAGCTATCTCATATCGAGTGCAAAACTTAGGGCATAGTGCAGCTACGGAACCAAGCACTTGTCGCCGAATCGCCCGAATGTGTATATCTCTTTGTAACTAGGGAAGGCTCTGGAAGATTCGAATAGGTTCGTTCTACGGGCTCTTACATCCTGCCTGCGTTGAAAAGTCTCTCGAGTCTGGACTCTGGACACTGGACACCTGCACCGGTTACATCCGTTGCATCCCGCTGTCGTGTAAAAATTTGTGACATTTGTCGCACAATTCAGTGACGTTCTAAAATCAACAATGGCAACAAAGGCCGACGAGGTGAATATTTATCGTTATTGTCAATTTTCAGTTATACTTTTTTTACACTTTATGCATATAAAATCCTATTTATGCTCATTTTTAGAAGAAGAAATAATTATAACCTAATTTTGACGTATTAAGATGATGCTATGATGCACAATTATTCACTTTCCGACACAATTGAGAAATTCTTCGGAATAATTTAAATTTATACCCATAATATATGCATAAAAAAAATGTTTTAAAAAATTTACTAATATATGAGTTGAAATTTTTAAGTATGAGAAGAAAGACTTTTTGAAGGTTCTTGCAAATTAATATAATTAATTAATCACATTTCTTTGCTGGATAAAGTATTTTATCAAACTGTGTAATTTTTTCCTCACAGATGAGATTAGATATTGAGGAGCTCAACAGCTTACTCGAGAAGGCTAATAGACAACGAAACAAAGACATATTGATGCTGGAAATAAGGAAACTGCAGATGGCAATGACAAAGTTGGAACAGAAAGATACGTCTGTCAAGGTGACAGCGCCTTCACTCAATGCTGCCCAAAAGTGCTACGAGGTAAAATTGAACAACTATGGGTGGGACCAGACGAGCACGACAATGAAGATCTACATAACGCTCAACAACGTTCATCAGCTGCCCAAGGAAGCCATTGTCTGTGACTTTACAGAGAGATCTCTGGATCTGCGCGTATTCGGTCTGGACAACAAAAATTATCACTTGCCGATCAATAATCTGTGCGCGGAGATTGACACCGAGAAGAGTACCTTTAAAGTGAAGACCGATATGGTCGTCGTATTGCTCGCGAAAAAGATTGCCCGAGATTGGTCGCATGTCACGTTGGTGGAGAAGAGAATCAAGGATGCAAAGTCGCCGTCCATGCCCGAGCTGGGTGAGGATAACGATCCCAGCGCCAGCCTGATGAATCTCATGAAGAAGATGTATCAGGATGGCGACGATGAAATGAAGAAAACGATAGCGAAGGCGTGGACCGAGAACCAGGAGAAACAGAGAAACGGCGCGGCTTTGGACTTGTAATTTTGGTACCGATCTAGCTATGATCTCGATATGTTTTATGTATAACTTTTTTTATACATTAGGAAAGTGTAATATAAATTTTAGAGGAACGCTCAGGTAATGAGAGTATAGAAAATCATACGGTTTATCTTTTCTTTGTTGTAAAGAGAGTAAATAAACGACATTGGTGTAACTAGGTATTAGTTTTTAATTTTAAAGTGTTTAAAGAAAATTTTTTAAGATCTAATTGCATAGTTAAAGAAAATAACATAAAAATTTAAATATCTAAATTTTGTAAGCATTTACACGATTTATGAATATATCATTTTTAAATTATAATACCAGCCTGACCGAAGATGGCATATTTAGTTGTGAAAATCCACTTATCGGTCAAAGTTTCATATTTATTAATGTTTTTAAAGAATTATATTTTAATTTGATTTAATTGTGAAATGTTTAATTTTTTGTGCCATGCTTATGATTGCGGATGAGTGTAAATAAATATCATTTTGTTGTTTAAGAAAAGTTACATCATTGTCACAGCACTGATATTGAACTATTGTATGGGAAAAAATATGTGCATATTGCGCTAATAATTGCTAAATACATGCATTTGCATTTTCGACGGATTATTAATTATTATACATCTATTGTGTGTCATTGGAGAAATCAATAAAACAACGTGCTTCAATTAACTAAAAACAGATATCTTTATTATCTGCTCTTGAACTTCGCAAACCATTCTTTAATTTACATCGTGATTGTTATCGATATAATATACAAAACATTCTTGATAAGCTCGATCAACTGTGGATCGCGCTTCGCAGATAAATAAAGGACTTGTATGACCTAGATGCAACAGTTCGTTGAATCCTGTTTGCGATGTCGTTTAACGTTCATTAAGTGTTCAATCGAATACCATGGTCAATTGATTTATATTAATATTACATCATGACAAATGCACAGCCCAAGTACAAAACTCTTTGGAATATAAGTAATAAGCTACGCTAGTTTTACATAACGTTCTCTCATAAAACGATCGAGACATTTGCAGTTAAAAAAAACCTCAAATCTACAGTTCCGCGTCTACTAAGGTAAGAATGGAATGATGCGTTGCCTATGAAACTATCGTGTTTTTTTTTGCAAATTGGCACTGAGACGATAAATCTTTGATGACGACGTTCTGGTTAAATGTAGTAGCATCGTTAAGATGTTTTTAAGTAATTTACAATGAATCACAGATGTTCCATACGTATCTGCAATTAATCGCATTTACATAATTAAGTGGTACATGCTGATAAATCGATAATGAAACTTATGCTATTCTCGAGAAGAAGGATAGACGTCGACACATTACTTGAAGATTCGAAAAAAAAAGATTTTTTAGTTTCTAAGTTGCAAAAACTTTACTCCAAATTGTCTATTTTTATTTATGCACGAAACATTATTCGATTATACTAGAAATCGTATGTTAAACGCAGCGTTAACAGCGTACGATTGAAAATTGTGCGTTTTTTTAATCAATCAGGAAGATAACACTCTAACGCGACCGATTCGTTCGAAAGTGTTCCGTTTACTTAATTGCAACTATATGATCGATTAACACGAGATCTCGAAATTCCAAATAGCATTCTTCATAAATTACGTTTCTTTATCAGATGTCGATGTCGCGATGCTTTCATGTATTGATACGTTGTTATCGAAATTGACGTCCGAGACGTCTTTTTGACTAAGAAGTATCCGATAAACAAGATTATATATATATTTCGCAATGGCCACATATCTCGATTCATTTTGGTCATGATATAAAAATATTCCTGCAGCTTAATCATCTCTCATGACGAATATCTCATATAATAATATAGTAACATATAACAGCCGCAACGAGAAGAGTGTACACGAAGTCTTAATCTAAAAACGATTCTTAGTATATTTCGTTAAATGAGTCGTTCACATTCTTAAAGTAACACAACTCAATTCGTGTTACGCATTTAAAAATAACCAGCCGGTTAGGATCGTGTACGATCACGTTAATGTGAATCGCGTAGCGCGGAAATTCAAAGAATTTTATAAAAATAATTTATGAACCAAATTAATAATTTTCCGAATAGATTAACATACATATAATATGGACATAACACTGTCCACATCGTAACATAAATTTTGAAATTTGATCGATTTTTGTACATAGATCGCTCGTGTGTGTGACTTTTTGAATGCGTTGTAGAACATTCGACTGATCGAGGTAATTGAAATCTTAAAATATCTGTATTTGTATAATATATCCCAGATAGCAAAACACCTGTCATATTTACGAAATATGTGCGTAAACTCGTGACGAGTGTTTGCGCAAATAGCATGTAAAGCTGCGCCCGCAAATGCTCAGCGTCAATATTGAATTTGTTTCAAACAACAGTTTATTTAATAGAAACAAGAAAATCGCTCTTAAGCTATACAATCGATAATATCAAGATATCAAATTAATAATAAGGCAAATAAGAGCGAGACGCCGGTGTTAAAGCAAGGATTAGACAGAAAACATCGACTCGTATCGAATTCAGGCACTATTAATGCAAGGTTGACTTTGGTACTTTGGTAGCAGTCGATTTCGCGATATGCCATTAGTCGATCTTGTTAACCAAATTTACACCTTGACCATTGGTTTAAAGAACACATCGACACTCTATCTTATGTGTTTTACGCAACTCGATCTTAACTTTAATTATTATGTATGACATTGAAGAGATCTAAAAGTAAGACCAAAACGTTTGTAATTTGTATGTCATATTAAAGTTTTTTTTTTCATGTTTACGCAATGTTTGTGACAACAATACATATAAATTGTTCTCAGCAATAGGTTTGCATATTTCTGCACACTCGTTTTGCTATCTGGGACACTTAAGCAGAAGTTTACTTGAATATACTCATTTAAAAATTACAGGAAGCTGTTGAAAGTCAATGCGAAAGTGCACTACTCTCGCTTTAACAGCTAAACAAAAACGATTATAGCATTGTTCAGATTGTGCTAAGTATCGTATGACCGTTGCAGCTTACAAGAAAATTTATATTTGATGCAGAACGTAAACGGTACCACAGATGCGGAAATCGCGCAAACGATTGAATGATCATGTTGATCGTTAGTTATAACGATCGTTAGTACGTTAGTTATAATGTACGTTAGTACGCGATAGCTAGAATTTGCGGCTGTGAGCAAGCGTTTGTGATTCTGCAACAAACTCATTCGTTTTTTTCTTTATAATATCGGAAACCGAGACACGTGCCCAGTGAATATATTTGTGGTAGCATATATATTCTGAATCCTAGCAATGATTCTTGGAAGAAAAATATCAGCGTAGTTTGCGTAATACTTTTTTTTTGTCAACTAGATTTTTAATTGTCAGCTATCATTGTGGTGCTAGTTGCATTAAACTGCCGCGACAGGTTATTAACAGAAAAGCATCACGTAAACTACGCTAAACTGAACACAATTTGGAAAATAAAGTAAAAAAAGATATTAACCTTAATTATAAGATATCGCATTTCGTCCATATTACGAGTACTATTTAAACGTGCAGTAGATCATTCGAGGAATGTCTAAGGATTAAAATTTAATGTCGAAAAGATTACCCCAGTTAGCAAGATGACGTCTAAAGACGTCTTAATGACGTTAGAAGACGTCATTAAGACGGAATTAATACGTAATTTGACGTCACTCTGCTACCTGGGACGCGCCGATCACGACTATTTTATCGCAATATCGCAATTATAACTAATCGTGAAACATATGTACACTGCAGCACAATGTGCTTCAAATTTAATACATTATCTTCCGATTAAAATATTATTTCTCTTATCATCTCGATTATGAACAATTATCTCGATTTACAATGACCAGTCAATCAACAACCGAAGTTAAATTTCACGAGAAAATATACATTCAGAAAATCACTCTGAAAGAACGTCGAAATTTTTTCCCTCTTTTAGACATTTAAAATTAAAGTGCATTTCTCCTATGATCATATGTATCTTAATCCCTTTACAGATAATCATACGGAAACGAGTGGAAGCATAAAACAGACGAGTGGGAATGTACAAGCGTATCTTATACATAGCAAAATATATCTAATGGAATTTAGTACAAAGTTAAGTATAAACGTTAGTAATGTTTTCACAATTTATGCAAAAATGCATTCTAATTAACGAATCATATTTACAACCCGTAACTCTATGAAAAATCATGATATACATATCGAAAGTTTTTCCTTTTCTTTTTCGCTCTCTTCGCGTTCACGATAAAGAGTATGTACCATATACTTCATGTATGCGGTTTCTTCAAATTACGTCTAATTAATTAAGAAACAAGGTTTATAATTTTTCAGCGACGCATATAACTCTTCCAATTGTATACTTATTTTATCGTACGCATTTTTTTCCCTTTCGCTTTAAAACGCATATCTCTGAACTAAAACGTTCGTTCTACGCAGTAATCAATTCGTCCAAACTTTCGTGTATCGAAAATGATGTATTGTACATCAACAATAAGAATGTAGATACGGGTGTATCGTATAAAATCGCTATCCACTTTCTCTGAGTTTTGGAGACATATTAAAATATAAATTAAGATATTATATCATATTATCAATAATATACAATAAGAGAACGTTAACAATCGGACGCTTAATCTTTGGTTCCCGCGTGGAGGCTTATTCGCTAATACTCTTGTAAAGAAGTAAACTTACTCGCTCGCTTATGTAAGACGAGCTCGTTCTCGTTATAGTCCAATAATGATCATTCGATGTACGTCTTACCGGACAGAAAGGGACTGTTGAATCTCGCGACTCGTCGCGTGAAACACCTCACTCATGGCGCTTCGCGTTTTTTCTATTAATTCTTCCACGTTGTCCGTACTGAGTCCCTCGGTTGAGATGGGCGGCAATGTCGTCACGAGGATGTGTCCTTTAATTAAGTTATCGATTTTAAACTCCTTCTGATAATCTCAAGTGCAATTTTCAAGTAATTAAAGAAATTATTTTCACAGGTCTCTTTCTATAGACGGGCAATTCTGTTATTCTATTATAAGTCATTGCTAAATTTTAATAATTAATTTTTTCATACGATTTATCATTTATTAAAATGCAAATAAGGTCTTTGAAAATTGAAAATTCTTAAAATTAACAAAGTTATTACCGACCTATACCTTTAAAATTTAATTCTTCAAGATTTAAAGTTTCTAAAAATTTCTTTTTCATTTTTTAAATATTTTTCGAGCTTCTGTATTTTTTATAGCCTCGCAATTACTTACCGGAGTCAAATCTTTTCTCTTCCGCGGATAAGAAATAATAAGAGGAGAATACAACTGGTAGTATGGGTAACTGCGACCTGATCGCGACGTGGAAGGCACCCTTCTTAAACGGATGTATCTCACCGGTGTTGTGCCTGGTGCCCTCGGGGAATATCCACAGCTTGATCTACAAAGCGTCGTGATGAAAAGCGTATAATAGAAAGCGAATGGTGGCCAAACACGATTCACGCGCGACCTTCTTTTACCTTCTTCTCCGTGATCTCCTTCGTGGCGGTGTTGAGGGCGGATCGCGCTTTCTCGGAGTTCATTCTGTCGATGAAAATCAGGCCGCACAACCACGCGGCCAGGCCGACTGGCCATGCATAGAAGATTTCCTTCTTGGCAACGACGGTGCACTTGTCCATCACCGGCCAGAGATCGAACATCCCCAAGATGTCCAGCGAGCTCTGGTGGTTCGCCACGATTATACATGCCCTGTTCTTCTCCAAGTGCTCCCTTCCTCGCAGCTCCCATCGCAGACCTAGCAGAGCACTTATATGATGGCATAACGACGATGCCAGTCTGCAAGAAGAAAAAGATAACATCTTTTAGCATAAATACAACTTAATGAAGCAACAATCGGGCATTTTTTTAATAATTTGAACGCGGACAAGAAAATAAACAGGAGAATCTTCCTAATTTTCGTCAAGTTCAAGCACGTTTACAGATGCTATTTATAGCTTTTAATTGTATATTAATTGTGATAAAAGTATAATTAATATACAATTTTATAACAAATTAACTGTCTGAAGATAAAAAGTGCTTAGTTTGTTCTTCAGATATTTCGATTTTATCTTGCGCGTGTGTTATGAGATAAGATAAATGTTTATTTTATTTTTCGCTCGTCTAAACACGGTTTCATATATTATTAAAAATCGCGTAGAAAATCATAATATAATCGTGCATAAAGTGTGCAACTATCATAATTTTATTTTTTTTTGCATTTTTGGAACACAAATGTATTTTTACAAAAGAGTTACATCAGCATTCTAAAGAATCCTACTTAAGAATATATAATTCATAGGCTGCGTTTGTTTTAGACGCTTTCGTGCTGAAAGCATCACTCCATCTTTTTTCAACGTGTAATGAGCAATAAAGATAGACTGACGCTTTCAGCACGAAAGCGCTCAAAGCGAACGCAGCCATAATATGCAATTAAAATAAGTTAATATATGAATAAGTCAACACAAGAGAGATCACATTTCTGATCAAAGTTTTGAGAAAAAAAAATAATCCTTTAAGTGGTTAACTTTTTAAGTATACTATGGATGTCCAATGCTGCGGCATGTCTCTCTCTCTCTCTCTCTCTCTCTCTCTCTCTCTCTCTCTCTCACTCACTTAATTTCAAAGATATGAGTCAAGGCGATAAAATACTTATTGAGAACCTCACTTATACCGTACGTATATTGAGCTCTTTAGAATTCCTTAAGTGTTAAAAGGCTAGAAAAACTCTTCAGAACTTTATATGCAAAAATACTATATATTTATTCTCTACCAAGATCGTCGATCGGTATATGTACCTATAATTCAAGGAACTCACATAAAAAATGCATCAGGATTCGTTCGGTGATTTACGCGTTTTGAAAAATAAATGCCATTTTTCTGCCTTTTTTTTCATTTTACATAGACATGGAAGATACGAAACAATTTGATGAAATATACTTACACGGAAGATTTTGGAAAGAAATAATTTTAACAAAACCGACATTAAACTAACTAGAAATAGAGCTATCGACACAATTCTGTTAAGAGATCATACTTAAAAAAAAATTCAAATTTACAATAATTGACGCTTTAAAGAGATTTATAAGTGTCAATAGTTGCTTTCCATTTATACATTAAAACTCAGATAATCCTCACTTGTGACGTCGTAACTCATTTGAATGCACGTTCTTTTTGCATGCTGGCAAGTGAGATTCAACTGAGTTTTTATCCACAATCGAGACCGTGTGTTTTAATGAATCTAATAGACTCTCACATTAAAAGTGAGGCTACGAATCTGTATTGTTACGCGATAGCTTTGTCACCAAAATAAGCAGGTAAGTACAAAAAATGACTTATCTTACCTGAGTATAAAAATACTCACATAACTGTGAGTGACTCAGATCACTTGAGTGTAAATGGAAAGCAATTATATCGAAAGATTTCAAAATTTACTCTTTCCCCTCCTAAGTTATTACTCCGCCTAATTAATAAATATTAATGCTGTTTGCGTGTATACGGATTTTAATACAATTAATTGATTTAAAATATTTAAACTTACATCTAGTGTTTTAAAAAATTTAAATGTCACGATATTGAAACGTTGCGTGGTTTTGAAAATCGTCCCTATTCTCTTTTCACTATAATTACTCCCTTTAATTAACAATCAGATGCTATTTTGCTAATTTGTATACACATATGTAAATTCTAATAGGTCCAATGTTGATATTTGGACAGTACAAAGTGGTACAATTACCCAAATGTTCGGATATTTCCGAGCGTACTGACAGCTAGCAAAAATATTCAATGTCAACAAGCTAAATATAGCAGAGTCGTTACTGTCGGGAGTGTCGCTGATCCGAAGTGATCTCCCCGCCATCCCTCAATGTAATTACTCTCACGCGCTTGGGCGACTTTTCACCACGGCTGTCCCTACGTGGCGATGACTACGAGTATCATCGCTCGTCGGACATTTGTCATTTTATTTGTGGCGGAGTGCTGCCATTGTTATGGGAAGCGGCTTATTTTCTCCCATACGCGACACACAGCTCCGTACGAGACAGCACAACAAGTTTAAATCCTTCCCCCCTGCTCCCCGTCTCCAGGAATTGTCGCCGCTCATCGCTGCGGTACTCGCCAGCAACAACCACAAACACCGCGCCGGCACCACCATCACCACCACCACCACCACCATTATCATCACCGCCACCCACTGAACAAGCAGCGAGCGCCGGTCAATAAATTCCCCTGGCCGTCCCGGCGGTCTCCGCCGCGACGCCTGTCCTGTCAAGCTCTGGAAAAAAAAACAAAAAGAGGCGCGAGAAGGTGGTGACTGCCGTAAATACTTACGGGGCGAGAAATTAATCGGAGCTTTGGAGAACGGGGCGCGCGAGAGAGAAAGAGACACAGAGAGAAAGAGAGACGAGTGGGCCGCGCGCGCGGTATGACGGCAACATAACAATATCGATCGATCGGCGGGTAGACACTGATGGTAGACTACTAACAGGAAATTCTTGACGTTGCCGGGCCGCAGCGAGATGACGGGCATGAGGAGGACCGCGTTCACCATCACGATGCCGTAGTAGATGAGGAACTTGAAGTAGTAGCGGAAGGTGCGGCTGGTCTCGTACAGGAACGGCAGCACGAGGATGAAGCCGACGAGGATCACCTCGAAGCACGACGGAGGCATCTTCGGCGGCCGCGAGGACGACGAATTCCCTGATGTGCACGCGAACTCCTTCCGCTCTCCTCCCCCTGTGTTTTTATTCCTCCACTTCCTTTACTTTCGGCGGCCCGCCGCGACGATTACCTCGCTCACGCGACTTTTTTATTATCGACGACCGCAGACGGGAGCGCTCGCTCGCCGCTTCCTCGCCCCGGAGAGATAGATGGAGAGAGAGAGGCTTTGTCCCGGGGGGGGGCTTCCGACGACGGGTGTCCCTTCGGACGGGAGCTCTTGCCGCGACGTAACACGCTGCTGCGCAAGCGGAGCACTGCCGTCCCAGCCGTCCGCGCGGCGAACGTTAAATATACGGGCCGCGCCGTTTGCCAAGGGGGAGAGAGAGACCCCCTCGGCGGCGTGTTCTATTCTACCCCTACTAGCCGCGATCCCCGGCCTCGCGCGGCAAGCGGGGTCGCCAATTTTTTTCGTTGTTGAGCGGCACATTGCGGTCATGACACATTGGAGCAAACGTATTTCACTAATGAATATGAAATATTGTTTCTGTACATTGGTATCGTCAAACGCGATAAACAATGCCTGTTTAAAGCGCAATTGAACGTTTAAATCGCGCTTCTCTAATATCCATTTTTATCAATGCGGATTAACTCTAATCTCGATTTAATTTGCGTTTTATCTTTTTCTAGTTCTATATAAGAATTGGAGTAAAGTAATTAAGGAAGTTTAGGGAGAATAACGCGAAGGACGTTTCCGTAAAATCAATGTTTATAAAAGAGATGATATTATAATTTAATGTTCTTAACTACTCTCCGTCCTCTTAATTACTTTTGAAACTTAATTGTTAATGTTATGCAAATAATGACATCACCTGCAGCACAATAGCATGCAGCACAAATTATTGTTGCATTCAGCAAGAGCTGAGGTCAAAGTTTATATATATATTCTCTTTTTACCTGTATCTATTTTGCATATAGACGCTACAAAGTGCGCGCTATATTTATTCTCCCTAAACTTATTAACGTTAATATTACACAAATGTCATAAATGTACACTGAAATCGTTGCCTGTTTTGTTGCAAAACAAAGATATTACTTTTATCCTCGCTTCTTCTGTACAAAAATGGAACTGGCAGTTACATTATTTGCATATAAACGCTAAAGAAATATACGTTTGCAATTATTCACTCAAGAATGATACAATTACTTAATTAATTAAATATTGATAATTGATTAATCTATTATGCATCCACTCTATAACTGCAGTTATTCCCTCAAGTAACATATGTCTTCTTAAGGGTGGATGCATAATTTAGCACCTTAGCTAAACTTTACACCCACAAATATTGATTGGAAAAACGACATTCCGATCGCACTTAATCATCAGATAAGACGGAAGAGAGGAATATTGATTTTTCTTTATTCAAATATTTTTCAGATGCGTACGTATCCGCAATGATCAATCGTGATCACAGATTTTTTTTGTACATAAAACGATCATGACAGGTTTCTTATTGACAGGTGTAAAAAGGACACGAAAACAGATCTCACATTTTTTTTATTTCTGCAGTAATTTATTTTACGTTTTAAATTATTCAAAAGAAGCGTATCTGGCGATGTGACGATAAACAGGCCCCATATTATATGTCAGCCGTGTTTTAACAACTCATAAATGACAGAGCCTGTTATTATATATACAGATTTTGATTATCTTGATGCAGTTATTCACTCAAGTAACATGCCTTTTCTTAAGAGTGGATGCATAATTTAATATATATATTAATCAATTATCAATATTTAATTAATTAAGTAATTATATAATTCTTAATTGCACATTAGCTATATACTTCACACCCACAAATATTAATTGGAAAAGCGACATTCCGATCGCACTTAACCATCATGCAGATAAGACGGAAAAGGGGAATATCGATTTTTCTTTGTTCAAATATTTTTCAGATGCGTACGTATCTGCACGTATGTATGTATATGCGTACGTATCCGCAATGATCAATCGTGATTACAGATTGCATAAAACGATCACGAAGTTTCTTGTTGACATTGCAGGTGTAAAAAAAATGACACAAAAATAGATCTCACATTTTTTTATCTCCAGTAATTAATTTTACATTTAAAATTTAAATTATTTAAAAGAAGCGTATATCTAGCGATGTGGTGATAAACAGACGTGTTATATCTGGCCGTAATGTTTGGCTATATGACTGTTCGATCAAATATTTCGAAAATAATTCGAGCATTGATAACGTAAGAAAGATTTGGAAATATTATACTCTTTTCGTTTAGGATTGTATTTCGTTTATTTTATTAGAATTGTAATAGTAAAATCCACAAAGCCAAAATGAGGGTTTAAAATAATCTAATTTTGTAACTTCTCCATTTTATTCGGTCCATTTTATAACTTTAAATCTTATTTTTGTTTTGTTCCGTTTAGCTTTACTAATTTCGGAAAAAAACAACTTATTTCTTAAATCTTTATTCTTTAACAATTCTTTTATATCTTTATCCTTGATTTGTTATTGTAAACTCGCTTAATTTCGAATTGGTGCTTGACACTGAACATTGTAAATATTGTGAAAATTACCAAAATATAAACATTATAATAAATATATAAACAAAAAATCTAACATATGCATCTTATATAAGTAATAATTATTTAGATTTATTAGAAAAATATTTATTTAGAAAAATATTTTGTCGATTTTTATACTCACGTATATTTATCTCATAATAATAATTTATATAATTATTTTTAATTGCTTATCATATAGGCCTATCATATAGGCGAGAAATATATCTTGACGGTAGACCGTTTTTTTTCCGATTAAACGTTACAGACACGAGTGTTGAGGACGTGAAGTGAACACTCAAGGCTCAAGTGCAATCTCTATCTCGTTATAAGTTATAATTGTTATAAAGCTTAAGAGACGCGCAAAAGACGAGAGATATTTCGCAACGGCAGTAATCTAAGAAATAATAACTTAAAAATCGTTTCTAAGCCCATATAATTTTATAT